CAAAAAGAAGCATAGTTTAGCTGTTTAAACACTGCATTAATGTTCGTTGAAACATAACACAAATACACAACAAAAAGATGAAATTTATAAAATCAGCGATGAATATTCTGTCAAAAACGCATGTAATACACAACCTTCCGAAGACCACTAACAAGTCGCAACAAATTAACCAGGCTAACTTTTTGGCTAATAGTGGCGAGGAACGGTAGCAAAGAGAATACTTCATATAAAATATAACATATTTCTAAAAATGCTATTTCGGACATTACTTTATCAAACGGTAATTTTTGCATAAAATATTTTATGGGTGATTTAATAACATATTTCCAGATATTTTGCGATTATTGTTTTTATATTAAAGGGGACCCTTTCAGGTTACGATAGCAGCCATCATGCATTAGCCATCTTAAGCTCAGGATGAGTTGTCTTTCTCAGATAATGGTGTCTCCACATTTCTGCAAATGGACCATAAGATATTAAGTATGTTCTTCAAATTTCAAGTTTACTTTGTGCTGAAAGTTACAATAAAGCAGTTTTGTCATTATTTGTCATGGTATGTATTTACCGTCTTCCTTTAAACATTATTTCATTTGATTATTCCACCAGGTAATGCTTTCTATTTCTATATAATGTCTGAAAACATCATGTACTTCTAATCTAAGAAAGACTAAATATTGAATGACAAATTTCAACTTTAATATATGGATGTTTTTATGGCAGTAGCTTATGCGTAAAATATAAAAGGTTTGAAGCAGTTTTCCTTCGACCATGTTCCATACTTCGAAGTCAAAAGGTCAAAAATTTTATATACAATCAAGATGGAAGCCATTACAACTACACTAAAGGCTAAAAGTAGTTTCTTCCCTCGAAAATTTGTTTTATGTTAGAGCACGTTACTTATCTCTTACTTAACGTGGCCCTATTATTAGATGTCTACAGTGGGTTGTGTACGATATATAAAAACGATTTTGCATATGCAAATCAACAAATCGATTGACAACCACGGCCGATCTAAAGTCGCGTTGAACATGTATGTATCAGAACTACATTTTAACATTGTTCGAATGTTACTTAGGTAGTAGGATTTCACCGAAAATTGATTGCTGTTGGTGAAGGTATGTAATATCCCTTTCAAACTCAAAATATTCATACATTCATATCATAAAGATGTGTTGAGTTCGGAGATTTAGATTTTCCAAGACGAGGATACCGCTTGTATTTGAAGATCCATGGCTCTGTGATTCGTGCCACGTTACTGTGGTAAATTAATTGCGCTATGCACTTTGGGGCTGTGAATGTGTTATAAGAGTAATGATCAAAGCCCACTCTTCGATTAGAGTAGCCCATGAGTTAGCGGTGAATGGTGTTGAATAGCTGCCTTCCTTCTAGTCTTAGTTTATTACTTCAAAATAAGGAAGATAGTGTAGATAGCCCTCGAGTAGCTTTGTGCAAAACAAAGTAATATGGATCAATTTGGGGAACCAGGGTCATCCAGAGAGAAGCCTGTAATAAGTCGTGCCCAGCATAGGCAACGAAAATGTGGTGTCTTGTGATCACATGAAAATCCACGAACACAAAGATCACTGGTAAAAGCTGGCCACATGGCCTAGGCAACATTACACAACATTATAAAGAAATATCTCCGTTTGAAAAAGTGACACAAAACACGTGTACACAAGTTGGCTTCGGTACATATATCCCAAGCAACAGGAGAATGAAACTGGTATTCACGCTATTACATACGAAAACCATACCGGTAGTCGCCTATGATTTCTGTGTCGTCAGACTGTTGAACATGACAGCCTTACTATAAAACTTTTTTTGCAATTGAAACTACGTTGCAGCGTCATTGTCAAGATGCACAGTATTACTACACCCGGCGACATGGACTGCAATGTCGTGGTGAGGCTCCAAAATCGATTTAATATAGCGTTCTCAACCCCTTTTTTTATCAGTTGTTTTTGTTTATGTAGATTTTAATGATTGTAATTACTCTTTATTAATTGTTGATTTTATTAATTTTATTTATGCGCGTGTTAAAATTTTGATTTAAAATGATTGAAAGCGGGCTTTAAATACTATTGAATTAGTTCTTCGGCCTCCAATCAGTCATCATGATAATGTTATATCTTTGGAATAATCTCACATAGATGAATTCTTTTGTAAAGTTACCGTAGTGTGAATTATTGTCAATTTGTAAAAGCTGTTTTTTTTTTCACTAATTCTTTGCATCTAAGCCAAAAAAGAGAAAATAAGTCAATTAAATAGGTTTAAGGGCTGAAAGAATGATATTAAAGAAAAAATATCTTTGGCAAGCGAAAGAATAGATTATATTTGGTTTATTAAAATATTTTTATATTAATATTCAAAATAATCAAGAAAGTCATGTTACCTTTTATAGCATGACAGTATAGAAAATACTGAACATTTGTATCTGCTTGCAAAAAAAAATCCCAAGTTTTCGTGTTTTACGTGTTAACGATGCTTAAATTTGCTAATTTTGGTATAAAATATATATATTGAGTTTGTTTTCATTTCAAATTTACAGGTATAAAAATTATTTCAGTATGGATAGATAAAAACAAGTTTACGTCACCACATTTATGAAGAAAATCGAAGCAACAAGAAAGGTGATATCCCATAAAAATACGTCAAATGAGTCATGTCAACTTGACCTTACTCTTTGAAGGGCGCAGCTGTTTCCTTTGCCATATAGCCAATTCAACTGAAACCTCATGGCTTTGGTCCAAAGGACAGAGGCAAGCGAAAGCAGATAAGGAAAACACAGCGTTCTACATAACAAAATGTCCAAGTTTGTAATGTAACACTTAACCAAGAAGTTATTTATCATTCAACTTTATTTCTTTTAAGTAAATATTTTAAACATTTGTTATGAAATCCGGAGATATAAATTATGAACTTAACTTAATAAATATCATATATATTTAGTGAAACGTACAAAGACTTCTCCTGATTTATTATTTTTCATTTTGAACAAATATCGTCAGCTTGGGAAGTTATCCGTCGCGGGTTTCGATATCTGTAATGGGCACAAACAGTTCATCGTGTAGCTTTGCACTTTACGACAAACAAACGAAAAAATTATTATTTAAAATATAGTTCATTTTCTGATTTCTTTTAAAGTCGTGTTTTGTTCTCACGTCCTGTAAATCGAACCGGCAGCGCCGTCATAATGCGGTAAAAGTCAGAATTTGTTTGTTTGTTTGTAAAGCACAAAGCTCCACAATATGATATTTATACTCTGTACACCAGGGGTATTGAAACCCGGTTTCTAGCGTTGTAAGTCCGCAGGCATCAATCAGTATTAGAAAAATATTTACATATATATTTTTTTGTTTGATCAAGTTATCAATGAAATATAAGTGAACACATATTAAACTGTTTTGTTTGTTTTTGTTGTTTTTTTAATTTCGCTACACGAGGGCTATCTGCGCTAGCCGTCCCTAATTTAGCAGTGTAAGACCAGAGGGAAGGCAGCTAGCCATCACCACCCACCGCCAACTCTTGGGCTACTCTTTTACCAACGAATAATGGGATTGACCGTAATATTATAACGTCCCAACGGCGATCATGTTTGGTGTGACGGAGATTCGAACACGCAACCTGCAGATTGCGAGTTGGGTGCTCTTAACCACCTGGCCATGCCGGGCCTGAGGTTTTTAAATAAATACTTTAGAGGAAGATGTTTACTTATCATTTTTCGCTAAGAACATGTAATCGTTTTATGTTTAAAGCAAAATCCCCCCCCCCCCCAACAACAACAGTGTTTAGAAAAAAGAATTAAAATACAAAATATTAGGTGGTAATGTTTGTCTAACTTTTAAATTCAGTCACATTCAGTACAGATTTCAGTGGTGCAGCTGTCCCTGGTGTTGAAATGTATAGTTATTTTTCATTTGTTTATAAGTTTTTAAATTATCTTCAGTCTTGATGAAAACTCGAAATTTGTTGCCCCTTTCTCTCATTCGTTCAGCAATAGGCTTTACAGGGATACAGTGCAAATTTTCCATAGTATAGTTTTGTACTTAGCCACAAAACAAACAAAGTTGTCCTGGAAGTCAGTTTGTCAGTAGGTTGCCCCTGTAGATACATCATTGTTGGTTAAATGTGTAAATAGGAATTACAGAGTGGTTTATCACTGGAGCAAAAGTTTTTATTTTTAAAGCAGATTGATTTGTTCATCCATCAGATCAAGATTTATACAAGTAAGAAGTGAGAAGGTGTCAAATCACTACCCCTTCCCAGGAGTGACAGTTAAATCCCACCATTTGGTAGGATATGAGTAGCCCAAGAGTTGGCGGCTGGTAGTTTTGACAAACAGCCTTTCTTCTAGCTTATTACTTCACAATTAGGAACAATTAGTGGAAGTAGTTTTTTTAGTAGCTTTGTGCAAAAATTCAACAAACAAACAAACTTTTCTTTACCATAAGCTTCAGTACTGTTCGTAGTTACGTAGATGTTTATGGACAAACTTTATAACAAACAACACTGTAACACATTAAATATTCTGACAGTGGCATGTTTTGATCATTTCAACAATTATATGAACAGTAAATACTTGTAGTTCTGATTTACAGAATAATATATGTGCTTATAATTGTGATTAGATTACATTTGTTTTATAGAATAACAGATCTGTTTAACATTTGAGTAGTTTATTTGATGAATGTCACATTTTGTATGATTATATTATATTTGTTTTATAGAATAACAGATCTGTTTAATATTTGAGTAGTTTATTTGATGAATGTCACATTCTTTATGATCATGTGATATATGTTTTACAGAATAACAGATCTGTTTAACATTTGAGGAGTTTATTTGATGAATGTTAAATTCTTTATGATCATGTGATATAATGTGATGCTGAAATTAAAAGATCACACTGTATGTGAGAGTATGAATTAAACTTAGAATAGGTTACCTTAATTTTGTTTTATGAAGTAATTCTCCTAATTGTTTTTTTTTAATATTAATAGCTGACACCAAAGTTGAGGTAGACTTACCCTCAGTGCCAGACCTGACTGGTATAAGGTCTCGCTTTGAATCTCCCCAGGAAGAGATTCATTACGCTTCTATCGCAGACAAGTTCTCTTTGCAGAGAACTGAAAGTGTTATGCAGCGTCTAGCAAAGTAAGCAGAGTTAGAGTACAAGTACACAGTTTATATGGTTTCCTTAATCACCATATTATTGTATTTTATTATTTCCTACTAATAATTGAATGTTTAATTTGAATTTGAATAAGATATATTTAGATTAGTCTTAAACTCTCTTTGTTTGTTTGATAGTAGATGTGAGAAGAGAGTTTACAGTTGTTAAAATATCATACATCACACTCTGTTTTGTACCTTGTACTAGGATAATCATACTCCATACGTATGACTTCAGCCACCCTATGTAATGCATTTGAGAAAAAGAACAAAACATGTGTATGGTTCTAAATAATGTTTAATGTTTATATAGTGTATTGAATGTGTACAGTACTTCTTTTAAACCATTATCCTGTTACTTTCTAATCTATTCTAAGCAATGTTACAAGTTGATATTAGAAAGTAGTCCAACCTAAGGTCACTGTAAGTGACTATATCTGAGAAATCATGAATCATGCACACACACACAGTTTTTTGATAAATGTTCAAGTTAATCAGTGCAGTGTGCAAAAGATAAAATTAACAAATAACTCTTATATTTGTTATCTTAAAGATAAATTATACAAAAGCAGTAACATATTAGCAGTTAATCGATTTTGAATTTCTTTTTTGTATTTAAAAATACCAAAACTGACTTATTTTCATGATATAATAAAGCTTAAAATCAAAATATTTTTAAGTGAAAAATTAATTTGTTACAACGTAGATGAGATGTTATGAAAATGATGATGCCAGTAAGTCTTTTATGAAATAATAATTTGCTTTTCTGTTTACAAAGAATGTTTGTCTTAAGAGAAATTTTCTCTACATGAGAAATGTACTGACTAAACATTAATTTTAAAGTACATTTTAAGTACAACAGAAACAAGTAATAACAGTGTTCTTGATGTGTAAATAACAAATTTACACACTTTTTATTATAAGAGGAGAAGCAAGTTTTACTTAGGTTTCTTTATTCTTACATTTTTATTGAGGTATCAATCTGCTGTATCTGGTGAAGAAAATGGTGAAATCTTAGGATCTAGTGAAGATGAGGATTATGATCCCTCAGTTGTTAGAGAAAGCAAAAAGAAAGAAAAGGTAATGTTTTACATCAAAGCTCAGAATATAATTTCAACCTTAGTGATTTTATTGTTGTCTTTTTCAATACTGAGTAATATATAAAATGAATGTACGTAGAAATGAATTGCAGAGTACTATAGCAAAAGTCATGAAATATACAATATCTATGATAACTATGTAGATAGTTAGTATGTTTACCATTTAGCTCATGTAGTAGAGCACTTGCCTGGAACATGATTGGTCTTGGGTTCATTTCTGAGGTGAGGAAATATATATTATTTAAAAAATTAATTACAGCATTGGCACTAAACTATAGTGACCATGAAATTAGGCCCAAAAATGAGCTTTATTTGTGAGAGGGGAAGAATGTAGTAATTTGAGTTGTTAAAAAGTGACTTACTAGCAATCGCAACTGGGTTAACTGTTTAGCTCAGTTGGTAGAGAACTGGAGTATGACAAATTTTAGGTTTAATTCCAAGGTAAGGAAAATGTATCATGAAAAATACATTGCCACATATGTTTATATTTATATATTAAAGGAAATAATTATGGAGACAGTGAGGAAAAATGGTGTACAAGGGAAATAATATGGAAAATTCACCCACATATCATGTGAAAATTAATTCCACCAGAGTACAGTAGAGTGTTGATATTTATAGTGTGATTGGTTGTCATCCATCCATTCAAAAAATGTTGCATCAGTATAAAGCCAAGTATTTTAAATTAAAACTAAGAATTTCTTTTCAAAATATATATTAAGCTAAGTACATAACTATTAAAATATATATAATTGTCACGTGTTACAGAAGCATGAGTTGAGAAATATACTACACTGTATCATTACACTACTTATCTTTTCCTTCATCATTGATTTATATAGGTTTAAAATTCGTGAAATGCCATTGATGTATGTAAACTAAATGTTATATCGATTGTGTCCAGGTTAAATTTGTGGAAATGTCAAACTTGAAATCCCAATGGGAAAGTGGGAATGTTGGAAAACCTGAAGCTAAAGGTGCAGATACAAAGGATGAACTCAACAAGCTGCGGCAGAAGATGTGTTTGGGAAGGTCAGAGTCGAAAAGGGCACTTTATGAACGTGCATGCAAAGAAGCTGAAAGTAACTTGGCTTCCAAATCAGCATCTGTCGAGTTAGGCAATGAAGTGAAAACAGTAAACATTAAAGAGAAGTTTGAAAAAGGTGAACTGGAGAGTGAATTGGAACAAGAAAAACAAGAAAAAGCTCGACGAGAAAAAGAAGAAGATTTTAGTGTCTTTAGTGAAACAGGTATGTTGCAAACATAAAATAGGCTCATCTTCCATGTATAGATCAAACAAGCACTCTTGTGCAATCTCTCTGAAACTGGTTGGTTGCTTGCTTATTGTGTGGTTCATGTCTTAAGCCTAATGTTTTTACATAAGACTACTGGACTATCTTTCTTTAAACTTGTAGGTCATACACACACACGTATACTCTGCTAGAATGAGTTCTTAAACTTGCAGGTCATACCTAAACACTGCTAGAATCCATCCTTAAACCAGCAGGTTTTACACAAACACACTGTAAGGCTTATTATTCTAGTGTAAGTACATTCTTGAAAAGAATGCATTAAACACACTGGTACAAGTAATGATCCTAAAGTTTGTGAGAAGCAGTTTTCTACTTACCTAATTTGATCTAATTGTATCACAAGCTATGAAGTCTAAAGTTTGTGATATGCAGATTTCTGGGAACTTGCCAGATATGATCTAATTGTATGTATCATAGTCCACACAAGCTATGAAGCCTAAAGTTTGTGATATGCATCTTCCTGGGGACGTGCTAGACCTGACCTAGTTGTATCGTAACCTATGACCTTGTTCTATCATAACTCACACAAAGTACAAAGAAACTGTGTATATCATTGCATATTTGCCACCTTGCAATTTCTCAAAATATTGTCATGTTTTTCATTATCTTATAATGTCAAACATTCCCGAATTTTAAGCTTAACTTTTTTTTTAGACCTCCCAAGGATAAATATAGAATATTTTTGATACATGGTTAATCTTGTATGATATTTGAACTGATCTTTTGTAAGTCTTTTAATATTTGCAGTGCAAATCTGATGTATTATACTATTTTTTTAATGTGATTCTGTAAACAGTATAATACATGACTTATCGTTGATGCCTCACTGACCTTTTAGCTAAGATTGCCTTTTGTGTAGGTTTTCTGTTTGATAACTATAACTGAGTGAGGTTGCTAAAAGCTAGAAGTCTATAAATTTGTATTGTACTTGAAAGTTAATTGGTAAAGAGCAACTGGAAACTGGGCAACATGTGTATAGTAGTAATACAGTGGATGGTAAGCCTTACGAATGAATTTCCTGTAGTATTTTGGAAAAGTTAAAAACATCAAGGTGAAATACCATTTGGTTGATTTGAGCAAATGTATGCTGTAAGATAGTTATTAAAAAATTTAACTTTGTTAGTTTTAAATGGTGACCTTACAATTGTAATTAGTTAACTTGGGGAATGATTGATATTGTAATGAAATCTTTGTAGAATATCACATATGTATTTTATACTGAATCTGGTTTATGAAAGAAATTTTGTTTCATTTGTAGGCACTGCAGCAGGAGCAAGATCACTTTTCAAACAGATTGATGCCACAACTGTTTCGTCCTCATCAGTTAAATCACCTTCTGCTGATCAAAAACGGGCTAGAGAAGTGCCTATATCCACAGTGTCTCCCACAAGAGATGCTGATGTTGTCAAATGTAGTGACCCAGTTTCTAAAGATGAAATTGAAGTTGATCCTACTCAGCTTACTCAACGTTTCCACTTCTTTGAAAACTACAAAGAGGAATCAAAAGAAAGGAAACGATTCCAGATTACTCCTCCACGAGAAACTAAAAAAGAAGAATCTCCTGTAAGAGAAATTGAAAGAGATCCCAACATTGTACGATCTTCAGATGCTGCTGATGAAGTTATCGTTACTGACACTGCTAAGAAGATGCTAAACAAGTTTAAGCAGTTGGAGAATCAGTCTGACAGTGGTGATGTCCCAGCTGGTCCCAAGCCAGTAAAACGTATCACTCCACCACGAGAGTACACGAAGATTGACGATGAACACGAGCCTTCACCAGAACCAGAAAGAGATCCCAACATAATTCTCTGCAGCTACAAAAATGAAGATGACATTGCATGGGACACTGAAAAAGCTAAGAATCTTCGGGCTAAGTTTGAGCATTGGCAACCTGATGCTGAACAAGATAGCACTAAAAATGAAAATGAATTCCTACCAGAAACTGATACAGCTAAGAACTTGAGGGCAAAGTTTGAAGCTATTCGGGAAGAAAGCATAAAGCCAAAAGAGAAACCAAAACCCAGAGTGAGGAGATTTGTAGTAAGTACTCTATCTATCTGTATTCTGCTTGAAAGAACTGTGTTTGTTCAGAAAATGATATTTTGGTGTATAACTTTTAAATTTGTCTTGCTAAAATACACATTTGTTTTTGAAGCTATTTCTAAAGTTCTCGAATATGAGATAACAAATAATTTTGTAGGCAGATGTTAATCAAGATAGGAGATTAACATATAAATACATGTTAGATACATTAGGTTTTCTGTGTAATATCTATGTGCAAAGTGTTGAGTATAATTGAATGACTTAACATATATTTAGTGTTCTGATAAGTTTTCCTTTTGATATTTTCAAATTTGGCTTTAGTTTTACTTGAAGTAAATAATAAAAAACATTTAGATCTAGATTGAGCTGTATTTTGAATATGCTTTATTTGCAAGCCATAATCATTTATGTTTTTATATCAGGCATGTGTGCTATGTAATGTATTGTGTAGTAAACAATGTTGTTAAGATGCTTAATTATACATTCTATAAAACATTGTGAATGAAATGTATGCATGTTCTAATTGTTTTGTTTTAATTGTGTTCCAGAGTACTGTGTAAAATTACTGATCCATTTAATTAAGCATTAATGGCATTACTATAGTTTACTCATAACTCTACTTTAAACATTTGAGTGTAGAGAAAGAATAATACAGAACTGAAGTTGATCTTGAAATGAAACATATGTAGTGATGTTGATTAAAACAGTAAAATTTAAAATTCAACTCAATCAATGATAGTACAGAACAGCTATCAGTAATCAGTACTTGTTAACTGCTTATATAGATCTTCTCCAACTCTTCTACAAATAGATCTGTACATGATTTCTCAGAGTATCAGGGTTTTAATACGTTTCTGTTTTTTGGGAAGAGCAGCTGCTAAAAAAAATAAAAAAGTTACAAAACAGAAAGTAAACTATTCATAATTATATTTCAGTTTTTATCTTTGTTTTATTGAAAAGTAAGACACTGCTTACTTCTTCAGTTCTGCACAAAGTTTCCATGTGCTGATCAGTTGTAGATTTCATTGTTTTGTGATTGCATGACATAGGTGAATAATCCAATATTAACTTGTATATTTACCTCACAGGAGATTTAGTCATTTAAAAAGCAATATTTTAATCTCTCTCTCTTTTTTTTTTACTTGGTGATAACTGGATATGTCCCTATATATGTATATAGCTCCTTGTGATCACTGGGTATGTTACCATTGTACATATATAGCTCCTTGGGATCACTTGGTATGTCCCCATGCACATATATAGCTCCTTGTGATCACTGGGTATGTTACCATTGTACATATATAGCTCCTTGGGATCATTGGTATGTCCCCATGCACATATATAGCTCCTTGGGATCACTTGGTATGTCCCCATGTACATATATAGTTCCTTGTGATCACTTGGTATGTCCCCATGTACATATATAGTTCCTTGGGATCACTTGGTATGTCCCCATGTACATATATAGTTCCTTGGGATCACTTGGTATGTCCCCATGTACATATATAGTTCCTTGGGATCACTTGGTATGTCACCATGTACATATATAGTTCCTTGTGATCACTGGGTATGTTACCATGTACATAAATAGCTCCTTGTGATCACTGGGTATGTTACCATGTACATAAATAGCTCCTTGTGATCACTGGGTATGTTACCATGTACATAAATAGCTCCTTGTGATCACTGGGTATGTTACCATGTACATTAATAGCTCCTTGTGATCACTAGGGAATGTTACCATGTACATAAAAAGCTCCTTGGGATCACTTTGTGTGTCCTCATGTACATAAATAGCTCCTTGTGATCATTAGGTAAGTCACCGTGTACATAAATAGCTCTTTGTTATCATTGGATATGTTACCATGTGCCTATAAAGCCTTTTGTTCTCACTGTAATCCTCCATTAAACACCACTCTCTACTGTGAACCTATTTAGGCATAGCTCACATGATTAATCATCTGATCACAGTTTGGGTTGTATTTTCCAATGAAGCTAACAAGCTCAATAGCGTTTCTATTAGACAAAATGGTGGCAAGCTTTTTGGTTATTTACGCACAAAATCTGTGATATAAAAATATAACAATAGTTCAGTAGATTTTACTCTTGTGCAGTCAGATTTGTTAGCTGTGTAGAAATGCAGCTGTTAGGGGAAGCTAACGACACACATGTAGCCTTGGTTTTCCCAAGTTATACTGAGTTGTAACTTATCTTGGCATGGACGTCTGCAGAAATATTTCCAGGGGGAGGCAAAGTTTTCGGGAGGGGGCAAGTTAGTGTGCGATTGTGAATTGAATACAAAAATTCAAATACATATACTGAATGAACAAAGAAAGCATTATGTTTCCACTTTCTAGGTGGGGGCAGTGCCCCCCCCCCCTTCGCAGATGCCTACGTATCTCGGTATGCTATTCTGTTGTTGTTACTACAAATTTATCCAGAAACTGACTAAAACAAGTATGATAGTCTCACTCAGTCTTTTTTACCCTGTGGTTGTTATAACTAACTTTGTGAAGAATGCATGACAGAATACTAAGAAGATTTGCACTGCAGATGAACCCAGAGTAGTTTTTAAT